TTTTTTTTTTTTTTTTTTTTTTTTGTGGGCTCGTAATCTTAACAACATAAATTCATCTTTTCTGCCTTTTAAATAGTTTGAAAAGTGGGACACCTAGTTCAATTTTTTTTTCTGCATTTATTAAGCGAAAAACTGTCCATTTTTTGATTTCTATAAGGGCTCTTCTTGTCCGTCGCCGTTCCTCTCGTACAGCCAATCAATTACTGCAGCGTATTTCCTCTTTATCGGCAACCTTTTAAGTTTCATTGCCTCAGTTACGAGACCGGTATCTGGCGTCCAAACCTCATCACATAGGTAAACCTTTCTTGGGATTTCACGTTTCAACAATCCATCTACAATACCGATAAGATTACGAAAAAGAAAAAAAAACATCCGGACCTACCCAACAGGAATTAAAATTAAAAAAGCAAAATACACTTTACTAAACCTTACTCTTTAAACAGTGCGCAGTAACGAGTTTTTCACACTCTTTGATAATCCTTCTGTTTTTACTCAACTTTTTCCAGTCAGTTTCTGTGATTCCTAACTGAAAATCACCAGTCGTGAAGTTTTAGAAATTATTCAGGAACCTCAAAAAGATATCCCGGCATCATACCTCTTCCGCAAGTTTTAACAAGTTCTTCTGGTTTGGTACGACCAGTGCTATCAAATAAGCTTCCAATGGGCTTCCATAGACACATACAACATCAAGCAGTGGTAATGTTATGAGCGCCGTTTCAATTTTAGCCAATGCAATATAGTCTCCGTGAGGAAGCTTTACCAGATCTTTCTTCCGATCTGTGTGAAAAAAAGAAATGATTTTCTAGATTCAGAAAGCTCTAATCATTACAACACCTCTTGTTCTCCCAACAAGTCAAATACACTGACTTGCTTCTTTTTCCATAGAAGTTCAACTGTTGGCTACTGAAGACAAAAATTTCAGAAAAAATCAACGTACACTGACTTAGGATTACGGTAATGTTAGTAGGCCAGAAAACGAAAAGTGAAAACCCTAACAAACCTTTTGACCTGCTTTTAAGAAGAACTCCCATAGTTACAACTAAAATTGTTACCAATTAACATTAGACATCCGTCTTCACGCATTTCACCAATGTCGCCTGTAGCGAAATACCTAACACCATTGATAACCAAGAAACTTTCTGCAGTTCTCTCCGGTTGGTTCCAGTATCCTTTTGCCACATTTACACCTCCAATCAGTATTTCTCCCTGTGGAGGATCATTATCAGGACTGTAACCACCTGAAGTTTTTATTTTATTTTATTTTATTTTTTTTTTCTTTAGGAGGGGAGAAATTAACTGATAATACCTTCTTGCCATTCGCGCAACAAAAGCTGTGAACATCGTAATGGTGGCCCACTAGATCCAGTTGTAAGGTCTTCATCTGCAATAACAAAGAGTAAACTCAAGCCTAAGCATAACAGATTATTTGACAACAATCAAAAGCAGCATAGCAACAGATCAATAAAGGCCTTACGGTCTGCAATAGCAGCTGCTGCAGTGGTTTCTGTCAAACCATAACCCTGAATAACATGACAGCACATGCAAATATTCAGAAACCTCTGAGTTTCACTGTTTAGCGGTGCACCGCCACTGATCAGTATTTTCATCTGGCCCCCTAACAATCTACTTATCTTCTTGAAGATTAGTCTGAAACCATTTGGCTTACAGTGAGAGAAAATTGGTATTAATTTTTTGTTTTCATTACAGACAGGAGATCTCGACTACCAGTAAAAAAAGTATGTAACTATTTTGCTCTGAAACGCTGTACAGTCAAAGTAATAAACTCAAAAACTGTCGCATTTCTAAGCCACTATAGAAATCTATCTACCGTCATTCTGACAAACGTCGCTTTTTCCATCTCTTGAAGTTTTGACCTTTAAAATCGTCAAATGTTAAATAAAAAAGTACAAAAAATAGGCTTTTTTTTAGCCTTTATTGAAAAAAGTCTTCAAGCAACACTAAAAAACACTAAATAAAGAGCTGATAATCATTAATTTTTTGTTGGAGCTCTTACTTCATAACCTCCTCTCGCCAGAAAAACAATCAGTTACCTGTCAAGAAACGGACTTCGATAGCCCTCTTCGTAACGGGCCCTTTTCCGTTCGTAATACAGTTTGAACAGTTCTTGCATTAAACGTGGTTGTGTAGCAACTTCTTCCTTAACGGCTTTAAAGACCCTGTCCCAGATAGTCTAAACTCCTACACTGCTAGTTTCCGAGAGCAAAAAAATACCCACTAACGAATAACTGTGCTCTGAGTTAAAAGTTTTTAAAAACATTCTAAACGCAACAAATATGACGCAGATATACCGGTACGCCGCAGACAACCGTTGGTTTCAACACGGAGCAATCACCCTTTGTTCCAGGCTTGATTTTAGGTGCGCGGTCGTGAAGCGTCAATGCACTGGAGTAGCCAAGACGACACAACAGCATCTAACTAATTCAATTAAAGTAATATAGATAAGTTTTATACGTGTTACTCACAAACTGGCAAAATTATGATCTAATTTTAACGTCAGATAAAGTATCAATAAGTTTTTAAAAGCTAGCTAAATACTTTTTGGATTTACCATACAACACAATTCCGCTAGCAATTCGAAGATATGTGCAAGTGGTAGATAACAAACAATAGTATCCGTTCTTTGTATCACTTTTACCCCCGCACTCATTCCCGCTATACCTCCGATCAAGTTCTCATGTGTAATCATGACGCCTTTTGGAGCACCTGTCGTCCCACTCGTAAACATTATCAGGGCAAGATCGTCTTTGGTTGCCGTTGAAGTTTCTAAAATACTTCTTCATTCAAAACTGTGCTGGCTTTTGTTACTAAAAAACGACGAAAATCAAAATCTGATACCAATCGGTGTTGGGCAAAGTTTTTCAAATTCTTCAAATGAGAAAACATTTTTGAACTGATCGCGAAAGGTTGTCGGGTCAATAGTACGATTCTTATTAATTACTGGCAAATAGATTAAAGTTTCAAGCGACGGACATTTCTTGTAACTGCCCTTCACTACAGGTGTCAACTCGGCCGAAGTTATCAAGATACTGGCTCCAGTATCATTAATGGCCTCAACAATTGCCTAAAATGTAGGTTTTTGATAAGTCCCAACAATATGAATTTTCGTAAACGAATTAATAACAAAAATCTTGAATACGCACAGCTTCACCAAGAGTTGCGTAGGCAGTTACAATAACGATATTGGCTCGCATGCAAGCAAGAGCGCTTATCAACCATTCAGCACGAGTTTCCGCGAAAATAATAACCTACAAATTTTCGTAAATTATAACTAAAACAAAGTCCAAAAAAAAGAAAAAGAAAGAATAATAAAACAACCTTAGCGTTGTCACTAGCAATTTTCCGAAGTGCGGCAGCCAGATATCCGACTTTTCGATCCACGTCACCATAAGTAAGCCAATGGTATGCTCCCATTTCATACTGTACATATAGTTACACTGATGTGCTTTCAATGATGTGCTGATGTGCAGGTTCTAACACTTTATTTCACCATTTAAGTGGCGCAAGTGAAAAAGACTACCTTTTCAAAAATTCTTCCGTCTGACTGTGGTTCTTCATGTATTGCTATAATCTCGCGGGTCCCCATTAATTGTTTGTCATAATTAAGTTTGGTCACATAGCTGAATAGTTTGTCCACTGTATTTATGCCTGGATAAGTTTCGTTCATCAAACCTTCAACATTTCTCCAGGGGCCGACTGGAGAGCCAACCGATTTTGCCTAAAAACTAGACGTTAGCATAAAGAAATGACCAGTATAGTATAAAACTTGTCAGTTCTAAATCTCTCGTCAAGGGATTTGTAGAATCAATAACTGTTTCAATAGTTATTTTAGAAGTTCACCTTAATTCTGCTGCTCCTTTCCTTCTTCCTTTCAGGAGAATCAAAGAGACGATAGGGTATGTAGTTCAAGTAATCGTAGATGAAAAGCCAAATACGAATAATGAAAATGATGACTTTAACCCATAGAGGAGAATCTCCCTCAAATCAAATAAGTATTATAATTTTATTACATACTCAAATTTAAATCTTTTAACATCTATCCATTTCACAGTTGTATACCAATGTGATAGAATAAATAAACTTTCTGTAATATACTCTCAGAAAAGCTTGAATTTGAAAACATTTTATAACTGGGCATAACATAATCCCTCACAGCAACCACCAACTTGATTATTTCCTCCCATGTGACTTAAGCCGTGTAAAAGACATATGTCAATTTAATTCCAGATCATTTTTGCAATCAAAATAAAACTGTTCGAATAAAAATGACTTCAAATATTAAAATTATAAATTAAGAAACAAAAATTGAGAAACTTCTTCCCAAAAAGCCATGGTCAACTTATTGATATTAATATAAATTTAAACTTGGCAATAATACTATAATAAGCTAATTAAGCGTTTTTTGGAACAATTCTTTTATTCTATTTGCTTATTGACTGTTCAGAGAAAAAAGTTGAACTGCATCTGTTCGTACTTTTCTATTATGACCAAAAGTTAACAACAGTATAAAAGAGAAACCTGAACAAGCTTTTCAACTGTCCAGTGCCGTGCTGTTCTAGTTTCTGAAGTACTCCGCACAGTAGGCCCTTTTTTCATCCCTAAAAACAAAGAAAACTTTATTGAATTTCTAGGCAACAATCTAAAAGACAGCGGCGAAGGCCATGTAAGTAAACTGTGGAACAAAAAGCACATCTGCACTACTCTAAATCTCCGTTAATCAAGCAACATAAATTCTTTTTCCACGTACACTTAAATAAGAAACAGTAACAGTTTTATAATTAATTACTAAAATCCTGTAGAAACATCACCTTAAAATCTATATAATTTAATCTTCTGTCATTTTTTAAATAAAATCTACATACATAGGAAAAGAGCATTTACTGCTTTTTCTGAAGAAAGATAAGGCATTAATGTCACAATACAAAATGTAGACGACGATTAACAGCTAATGCATGCAAAAAGCATACGCTATGAATAACACCATCTGACAAGAACAGTTGAAAACATTATGCAGAGCTATCAATAAACTTAACAAACCAAACATCCAGTCTAGAATCTATTAGCAATCTCCTTCTGTTCAACAGCACCAAAAAGATGTAGTAATGTACAAGAAACCAGAATAGCAAGACAGATAAATATCCTGCTGGCCGTTCAAATAAAGCAGTTTGTCTCCAATGCCTACAATTTGTTTTTACTACGACTACAAGTGGTGCAGTCCTTTTTCCAAGGTCATAATTAACAGCATGGTACTGAAGAAAAAAAAGCTAGCTTTAAAAATTTAACTCAAGCCTTCCAAAATTTCTGACTGTTATAGACTGGGCTAAGAAACTGCATTTTTGCCGTCTGTTGAAAACCAGACTTCTTCTTCCCACACAGAGATTGTTAGTTTGAAAAGAAAAAATAACTCAGCCATTTCTTTTCCATAAAATATTACAAACTGTACTCTTCAAAACGAATAAAAATTGGCTGCTTTTACGAGCGATTCAAAAAGCACGGTTTAGGATGCAGATTTAGCATAGAAAAAATGAAGATTATAGGTAGTCTTCAAATACTTTCCGAAAACCCTCAAAGTATGAACAGATGAAAAAGATATTGTAGAAGATCTGTTCACCTTACTGCAGCCAATGGTGGGAAAGATTTGAGGAACGACCAACAACAATTACTCAAAAAAAGAAAGCGAAAAAAAAAAAGAAAATTCAGTTTATAATGTCTTATTGTTATTAAAAATAGCTAGTTACACCTTAAAAATGATCCATGAATCAACGTTAATTGTTCAGAATAAACATCTGCTTGGATGAATATGACATTAGGTCTGAAACGAAAGCCGCCTAACAACCAAAAATCATTCCATGCTTTTGAAAAAAATTCTGCATTTATAAAATAGTGGAATTATACGATCAAATTTTATTGCCAACTGCAATAATTCCTGATGATTGAAATCCCTTTTTGGTCCGTTACATAAATAGATGGATTCATTGTCTGCAGTAAAATACAAGCCTGGTTGACGGATACATTACTGAAGGCATCTGGTCAAGTTTGTTAACGTCAACATAAGCAGCAAACTGTGACTAACAATGTTAACTTATTGGCTCTTTTCACTTCTCCAACTGTCTTCACTTATACCAAACTTCAATTATGTTATTTTGTTTGCCGACATAACCATATAAAATTATAACTGAAAAAAGAAACTAATTATAAAACTGTAAATAATATGCAGTTCTATTTCTGTTTAACATTTTACTTTTTTCTCCACAATTCTTTGTTTTATTCGACAGTGATGCTTACTGATAGCTGTTAATATAACAAAATAGCTGTCAATAACGCATACTACCACTTAAAAAGAAAAAAATAGAAATGTTGTTTAATTACTAATGTTTTTAATGAAATATCTTAGTTGTCATAAAAGTTTATGGTGTACTTAGAAGCAGTACACCGCAAAAAAATGACGAAAGAAAAAAAGAAACCGGAAGTTTTTGAATAGTAAAAAAGTAAAGAAAAAAAATGGATGCCAACAAAATAGCTTTGTATGGAAGTAATACTGATCCAATTCCACAATTAAACACTAAACTAATTTGATCATAATCACTATGACTAGTCGCTATTACCTCAACTACTGCACTAGCGCTGTTTTTTAGAAGTTTCTCTGCACTTCTAAAACAGATTTCGCCATTATCCCATAACCCTCGTTTACCTTTACCATAAGTATTCTTAGCCATATTCAGTCATTACGTAAACCAATTCTTATCAATATACAGATTCTGACATGGAAAATGCGGGCTTGAAAAGAGTGAATTAAACTTACCAATACCTAAATGCCAAACGCAATCCTTTCTGTTTAAAGACTTCACTGTGTCACGACGACAATTTACTGCTGAGGTAAATTCGGTACGCAAAAGGCCTTAATAAATCGAATGCATAGAAACGTTCCTGAAAGAATTCGACTGGCGGGAACAATTCCACGGCAGCCATTTTACTTCTTTGTGGTACGACTTTTCCTATTCGTGATGCATTTCATGTTTCGCCGTGCTTACCTAGACGCTTAAACATCCTGTCAGCACTGATGTTCCTCGGCAGATTCGTAGTTCAACATCGTGGACCACAGTGGAAAGTTTTAAAATGGATTTCAACGAACTGTTGCAACCATTTGGATGTAAAAATTTGTTTCTTTTTTTCTTCTCCTCACTCTATTCGTTTGCATGGATCTTTTTTTTACTCTCCTCTGTTTCCGTACATCAGTGGAAGGAAAACCGAACTGATACAAAAATTTGTTTCTTTGTTTCTTCAGTATTCGACATATTTCTGGTGTATGTTACAGCCTTCTCAGTACTCTGCCAACAAAAATATTTCTCAGAACATACCAACCTTCCTCTTTAGTCCTGAAATGCAACTGCATCTTGATACACAATCGTCTAGACGTACGATCTACAACTATTAAATATTAATGGCATTCGCGGTACTCCCATCCACGTGGCTTTCATCTTAGGTTTTTTATTTCTAATTGGAATTTGTTAGCATCCAATTTTAAGGTTAATGAATATATTTATGGAAAACAACGGGAAAAAACTTCTTTTTTTTTTTAAAATTTTTGCTAAGGTTTGCGTTTTTTGAACACTTATCAGCTACAGAATTTCGCTTCCACTTCTATTTGTAACACTCATTAAGCTATTTTCACTACTCGTTGCCCCAGCCAGTACTAAAACTGATGAACTTTGTCTTGACGTTCATTAGCAGTAACTAACAGAACAATTTCTTTCTTCTCCCCTAGTCTTCTACTGCAGGCTAAGTTCAATTCTAAATTTAATTCATTAATTTCACTATTTATCTTCTTTTTTTTCTACTTTAGCTGCGGTTTTACGGACTCTAAGACAACTCCCATGCATGGCGGTAATTTTTCTAACTTGACTTCAATATTTATGCGAAAAAAATCGTATTTCCTATCGACAGTAAATTGAGCCGCACTTACCATAACAATTTCAGTTACCTTACAGTCAAATAAATGTGGATTCAGGCTAGTGTTTAAAAGTTCGGAGTAAGCTTAATTTATAATCAGAAGCCATTTTGTAAAAGAGAAGTTGAAGTAGAATGAGAGTTTTGTCACTTTGAATTCTGTCATTTGTCAGTTTCCCCTTCATTTTTACTAATAGACTATGAAAGGAAAAAGAGAGGAAGACTAAAGAAAACAGACTGATGTCAAGAAGTAAAATAATTGTCTTGCAAACTTTTAACTCAGTTTGCCGAATAGCCCAGGAACTTACGTCAAAAAATATTTTAAAGCAAAGCATTTGAAAGTAGATATGCAGTGAAACGTACCTACATAAGTTCCGCTAATAATTTTACACTGGTTTTGCACTAGTCTCATGCGCCTTTTTTCCTTCATCTGAATATATCATCAAAAAGTGATTATTCAAAAACTCCACTACTGAAAATACATATACATTTTCATTGTACACCAGTTGCAAACTTTTTTAAAGGCTGATATCTCAACCTTTTATTACACTTCGCCGCCTGACAGTACCTTTATTTTTGATTGCAAAATCAGGGCAGTTACTATAAAACTGAGTTGGCAACAAAAACAGACTATGGTACGGTGCGAGGAAAAGTGCAGTTTTTGCTGAAAAGAGACATCTTTGACAAAATACAACTTTTTTAATTAAGAACCAATTTTTTTAAGCTTCCTTGGCTTTTCCCCCGTAGATTTGGAAGGGTACTAGTAATGCGTATACCAAAATATCAAAGGTCAGAGAAAAAACGAGAACTGAAAATGTTGTACCTGGATATGCGAAAATTCAGGTTTATTTGGGAGATATTTATATTTTGATGAAACAGTTCTTTTACAACATCATATAATTGTTGAAAGGACGCTATTTAGACCGTATTACGAATTATTATGCATTTAGTAAATGTAGAAAATATGAAAAAAATGTTTAAAATCTTTTGCAAAAGATTTGAAACTTTTTGTTTTTAGAAATCAGGCTTCAATTTTCTGTTTTTATCCTATCTTTTATTGGTTTCGCTGATTTATACATACCAACAACTATCTAAATAAAATTAAACAAAAATCTCGAAAATGTAATGCAATCAAGCAAAATTAAAGTTCCGAAAACACGACCATTTTACCCAAAAAAAACTATGTTTTAGCAAATTCTAATTTTGCTGTTAGCGCAGCCCTTGAAGTACACTCTTTTGCAATCTGTAATTTAGAACGGAGTTCTACCAATCAGTCAAATCTAAAAGAAGACTCCGATATCAATTCAGGAAGATGTACAAGTCAAAATATAATTACTAATCTCCGCATACAAATTTCCGCAAATGGATTCTTTGAATAACTGCCATATGAAAAATGCAAAAGGAACAAAAAAACGTGCGTAAAGTTGATTATATATATATATATATGTATATATATATATATATATA